CCCGCTCACCTGTCCTCCAACTCACCTGCCTCCCCACCCCTGCTCACCTGTCCTCCAACTCGCCTGCCCCCAGCTCACCTCTCCCTCAACTTACCTGCTCCACAGTTTACCTGCCTACCCTATCCCTGCAGGGCCAGCTCCTCATGGACCCCGTTAGCCTCCAGCTGGGCACCAAGAACCTGTGGAGCTTGCTCGTGAGGCTGCTCAGCAAAGACCCACAATGGCTAAATGCCAAGGTGAAGTTCTTCCTCCCCAAGATGGACCTGAGCTCCAGGAACAAGGCCGAGGATGCCACGCAGGGTGTCATGCTACAGCTCAACAGACTGCACACTCAAGGTCAGGCCACTTGGCAGGCGTTCATCCACTGTGTGTGCATGGAACTTGACGTGCCGCTGGACCTGGAGGTGCCGCTGCTGAGCACTTGGGGCCATGGAGACGGTAAGGGCAGACATAAGAGGCACAAAGCAGCCAGCCAGCCCCCTGCCATGAGAGCCAGGGAGGCCAGGGGAAGGCTGGGACCCACCCAAGTTACACAAAGACGACATGGTCAAGCCAGGAACAAAATTCTGTGTTTCTGAGCACTTTCCAGAGTAAATTCCCTATTTTCACCATATCAGCTGGGGACCTGGAAGATCCCTTCTTCCTGCTTCACCCCAGTTGCCTAGAAAGGCTGGATGCAAGGAGAGAAAGGACCAGTACCTACTTCCAAGCAAGAAATTCCAAATAGCCCATAATGCTCAAGACGTTTCTTTCTTCAGCACGGTCAGGAGCAGTTGTGGGGAGAGCCCTTTGACCTCGACGGGTGGGCAGGTGCATTGAACGCTGTTCAGTTCTGTGGGTGTTTCTTAGCACCTTCTGCTTACACAGCGTCGTGCGGAAACAAAACATTGAGGGCCAACAATGTTCCTGGGGAGGAAGGGAGAACTCATAGAAGAACTTAGCACACGGCAGAGCGTAGGATATGCAGGGGGGTTCACAGTGCGCATGCAGGTGTATGATCACACACACCTGTGCACAAACATGCATACACACAAGCATAAGCACATACCTATCCGTGCACAGACCTGCACATACATACACATTTCTGCCAGCAACTGCCTTCACCAGTTGTGTCCCCCACGGGTTGTGGAGCGTCCACTTTATTGCTCCCCTGCTGGGGACCTGCCCTGAGGGATGAGCCCTGAGAGCTGGTCCTAGGGCATCCCGCTGCATCCCCAGACCATGTGGCACTCTCCCCTTCTCTTTCAGGGTTCCCCAGCCAGCTGGAAACTGGTGAAGAAAGCCAACCTGAATCTCAGCTCCACCACGGTGAAAGCTGGGGTTGTGGAGCAGGAGGGGGTGGTAAGCATGCTAAGTCCCCACCTCAAACCCGGAGGAGGATGGTGGTGGCCAGCCAGCTGCTTCCCTTAAACCAGCCTCCTCCACCCTCTAACACATTTGCCTGTATCCCCGCCCCTCCCCATGGCTCCTAGTCCCGCCTCCTCCCCCTCTGCACCTGTTAAGGCTTTGGCCTGTTCTGATATAACCTGTTCCCAGGGGATCTAAGCTGGAGCCTCCCGAGAGAGTCTGAAGTTGACAGCTCCTGGGCACCTGCCAGAATCATGTCTCGTTTCACTAGGGGAAGTGTGTTCTCACTTCCCTGTCCCTAAGCCTCAGGGCCTCATATTCCAAACCCACAGACTCAGGCCTCCTCCTCATTTAGATACCTTGGGCATGATGCTGACCCATGGACTACTGTCCACACCCTGGAACCTCTGACTGATTTTTTGATGGAGTGCGGCAGGGATGGGGGTGGGGGGTCAGCAGTTAAATGGTGACCACCTCAGGATTTATTCACTCTATTCTCCAAACCTTTCTTTATGTTCATTTTTTTTAAAACTGTGGTAAAATGCACATAACATAAAACTTCTATCTTAACCATTTTTAAGCACACAGTTCAGTGGTATTAAGTACACTCTCATTACTGTGGGACCGTCTCCACCACCCATCTCCAGAACTCTTTCTGTCTTGGAAAACTGATACTCTATCCCCATTAAACACTAACTCCCCATTCCCCTCTTCTCCAGCCCCTGGGCCCTTTTATTCTCTGTCTTTATGATTTTCACTACTCTAAGTACCTCTTGTAAATGGAATCATTTTGTGACTGGCTCATTTCACTTAGCATAATGTTCTCAAGGTTCCTCCTACATGTTGTGGCAGAATTTCCTTCCTTTGTAAGGCTGAATAACATTCCATTGTATGTGTGTACCACACTTGACTTACCCATCCAACCCCTGATAAACACTAGGCTTGCTTCCACAGTTGGGCCATTGTGAATAATGCTGTTGTGAACATGGGTAAACAAATATTTCTTCAAAATCCTGCTTTCGGTTCTTTCTGAGTATATATTCAGAATCCAGGGTCATATGGTAACTCTATTTTGAATACTTTGAGGAACTGCCACACTGTTTCCACATTGGCAACACCATTTTGCATGCCCACCGACAGTACACAGGGGTTCCAATTTCTCCACATCCTTGCCGACCCTTGTGGTTTCCTGGTTTGTTTGTTTTTTATAATGGGTGTGAGGTGGTACCCATCTCACGGTAGTTTTGATTTCCATTTCCCTAACGATTGGTGATGTCGGCCATTTGTGTGTCGTCTTTGTAGATCAGTCTCTTCAAGTTCTTTGTTCCATGGTTTTAATTGCCTTGTTTGTTTTGTTGTTGTTGAGTTTAGGGGGTCTCTATATATTCTGAATGTTAATCCCTTTTCAGATACAGGCTTCACAGATACCTTTCATTCTGTAGGTTCTCTTTTTACTCTGTGGATAGTGTCTTTTGATGCACAAAATGTTTTTCACTTTCATGAAGCCTGGTTTGTCTGTTTTTTTCTTGTGTTACCTGTGCCTCGGTGCCATATCTGAGAAATCATTGCCAAATCCAATGTCGTGAAGCTTTTGTTTTATGTTTTCTTCTAAGACTTTTATTGCTTGAGATCTTATATCTCAGTCCTTGATCCGCTTTGAGTTAATTTTTGTGTATGATGTTAGGTAAAGGTCCAACTTCATTGTTTTGCATGTGGATGTCAAGTTTCCCCAGCACCGTTTGTTGGAAAGATTGTCCTTTCCCCATTAAATGGACGTGGCATCCTTGTCAAAAATTATGTGACCATATAAGTGAAGGTTTATTTCTGGACTGTCATGTCTGTTTTTATGCCAGTGCCATACTGTTTTGATTGCGTAGCTTGCTTGTAAGTTTTGAAATCAGGAAATGTGAGTCCTCCAACAAGGTTCTTCTTTTTTCAGGAGTGTTTTGGCTATTTGGGGTCCCTTGAGATTCCATATGAATTTTAGGATAGGTTTTCCTATTTCTGCAGAAAAGGTTATTGGGATTTGATGGGAATTTCACTGAATCTATAGATCATTTGGGGTAAGATTGCCATCTTAATAATAGTCTTCCAATGAGCCTAGGATATATTTCCATTTATTTATGCCTTCTTTAATTTCTTTCAACAATGTTTTCTACTTTTCGTCGTACAGGTTTTCCACCTGTTGGTGGTTAATTCTTAACCATTTTATTCTTTTGATGCTTTTGTAATTTCCTTTTTAGGTGGTTCATTATGTGTAGAAATGCAACTCATTTTTGTGTGATGACTTTGTATCCGGCTACTTTGCTGAATTCATTTATTCTAAAAAACTTTTTTGTGGAGTTTTTAAGGCTTTCTACATATAAGATCTTCTCATCCATAAACAGATTTTACTTCTTCCTTTCCAATTTAGATGCCTTTTATTTCTGTAGAAGTATGGGCTTTTTACTTATAGCTGTGCTTGGCATTAACATCAACAGGCTTTAACAGAACAGCCACTCCATAATCCCAGCTCCCCAGCAGATCAAAACTATTTGTCCTGGTCCCTGTCCCTTCTGGCTTAAATCATTGAACTGGCATAACTATCACATGGCTATGGCCAAGCCTGATTGATATTTAGCCAGTGAGTCCCTTATTAATAGAGAACTTGGGGAGCCTGGGTGGCTCAGTCGATTATGTGTCTGACTCTTGATTTCAGCTCAGGTCATGATCTCACAGTCATGGGATCAGGCCCCGCATCGGGCTCTGCATTGATGGCGTGGAACCTGCTTGGGATTCTGTCTCTCCATCTCTCTGCCCCTCCCCCACTTACAGGCACAC